TTGTCATCCTCGCTCGTCAGCAAGTGTGTGCGAATCTGTCTTTCTGCAGCAGTACTATCTGCAATGCACTCCACAAGCGGCTACGTGGGAGGTGATTGACAGACTGACTGCACGCTCCAAGGCCAGTTAGACGGATAGGAACGATGCGCATTTGCCGCAGAGCACAGAACAGACCGGACAGCGGGGGTTAGGTTATGCCTCCTGTTAGTGGACGTGTCTGTGCGTGCATTGTCAGGTGCTAAGCTGATTGGTTTATTTGCTTTAGACCAATCCGCTAGTGTAACTAGGAGCAGGCAAGCCAGTGAGAATAAAGCAGTCCACTGCCTGGGTTTATAACACTATGCATTATTTTATCTCGTGGCGGTTGGGGACGTCAAGGATAGCGCAGACCGAGGTAACGCAGCACTGTGAAGGGACCCTGGCTAAGACTGATTTGAATAGGGCCGTTGACATGTTTCAATACTCATCCACACGAAAGGGAACGTTAGGCAAGCAATAAGATATGCTGAGGAGGGATGGAAACTGGGAATACATATAATAGTAGTTAAGTGTACAAATGGGATGAGTTACAACAAGGGAGTAACCTGTTTGGTTGGTAAGACGACACTGACGTGCCAGCTAAACCGGCGGCGAACCTAGCGTTGTGGGCAGCTACAGGGGAATGGCCGAGGGAGATGCCGAGGTAAAGAGCGAGAAAGGTGCGAGCGTTACGGCAAGCTGCGGGGTATCGGCGGCAGTGAGGGGGAAGGACACCGGCCATTTTTACTGACACGCAGTTACACCATCACCATCCGAGGTCCGCGCGCCAAAATTACCCCTTCATTCAAACAGCCCTTGCAAATCGTGGGGCGTTACAATTTGGCGCTCACACTATACACAAATTAAAACAAATCAAAATCTCTGACTGGAGATGAAGAAGCAGGGAGGGACCTAGCCACAGGCTTCAGCACCAAAAGCAGTGGGGCACCAGCAAGTGGCATCTGTGTTGAGTCGAGATGAAATTCTCTGCACATGCCGGGCAGATAACCTCAGCGGGCTCCGAGGTGAGGAGGAGACTGATCAATTTTAAATGAAGTTACATTAAGGGCAAGTTTGCAGTCTCAGACTTCAAGTCTGAGAAAGGAGGCAAAGGAAGTATCGAGGAAATTGAGAGTGCGGCGAATGATGGATTGGCAAGGCCATGCATCTCCACAAATCGCTCGAACATCTGAGTAAGATAGGCAGTCGAAAAGGAGTCAAAAGCGGATGTCGTAGTGCGTTGATCTTTTGGTGGAAAGTTGTTCATAATGAGCGCCAGACCACATAGCAGCTTGGGAGAAAGGAGGACTGACGTTTGAAATAATTACCATTCGTTGAGAAACGATGGTCGACAATAAGAGTCTCCAAGTCATAGGTCAAGAAAGTCAGATTGGATTGGACAAGCTTTACTGAGGTAAAAGAGCAAACGGCAGATCAACGAGCACCTGAAGCTAGCCATCTCCATAGTCGTGTGTGTGTGTGTGTACCGTTGAGGTTCAACAATACCAATTATAAAAAAAACAACCATACTCATTCTCCTCATCCTACCTCTTCTAACTCTACCTCCGTCTATTCTTCTGCCTATTTTTCTCCCTCATCATCATCTTCTCCACCTTCTTCCCGTCGCCCCACTCGCTGTCACCAGACTGGCAGGGTGAGCCCGCTCACTCTGGCAGCCTGGAATTTTCGTTCCCTTTCAGACAATCCGAGGAGCAACCGGCCGGAACGGAGGACGGCGCTAGTGGCACGAGAACTGGCGCGATACAAGGTGGACATCGCCGCACTCAGCGAGACCCGATTCTCCGAACAAGGCCAACTGGAGGAGGTGGGTGCCGGCTACACCTTCTTCTGGAGTGGTCGACCCAGGGCTGAGCGACGAGACGCGGGCGTCGCCTTCGCCATCCGGACCCACATCGTGGGACGACTGCCCTGTTTGCCGCAGGGAATCAACGACCGCCTGATGAGCCTCCGTCTGCCCCTCCTGCGAGAAGGCAAGTTCGCCACCATCATCAGCGCCTACGCCCCGCCGATGACCAATTCCGACGCCGTCAGAGACAAATTCTACGGGGACCTGCACGCCCTCTTGGCGACTGTGTCGAAGGCGGACAAGTTGATTGTCCTTGGCGACTTCAACGCCCGCGTCGACACAGACCATACTGCCTGGAGAGGAGTGCTGGGTCCTCACGGTCTCCGCGGCTCAAACGACAACGGCCTGCTTCTCCTTCGCACATGCGCAGAACATCGCCTCATCCTGACGAACACGTTCTTCTGTCTGCCGGAGCGAGAAAAGGCCACCTGGAGGCATCCTCGGTCGCGTCAGTGGCACCTGCTGGACTATGTCCTCGTTCGGAGGCGAGATCAGCGGGACGTGCTGGTGACGAAGGCGATCGCGGGTGCTGACGGGTGGACCGACCATCGCCTCGTCATCTCGAAGATGCGTATTCGCCTACAGCCTCGCAGGAGACCACAAGGTAAGTGACCCCCAGGTAAGCTGAATGTTGCTTTGTTGTCTTTGCCTGCTCACCGTCTCCATTTCAACAATGAGCTAGCTCAACGGATAGACAACTTTCCTATCGCTGCCGATGCCGCCGATGCCGAGAACGCCTCCATGGAGAACCGCTGGTGTCAACCGCGAGACACGGTCCAGTCGACGGCCCTCGCCGTCCTCGGTCGCGCTCCCCGCCAACACCAGGACTGGTTCGACGACAACGACGCTGCCATCAGAAATCTGCTTGCCGAGAAGAACCGCCTACACAAAGCCTACGTAGATCACCCCACTGAGGACAACAAAGCTGCCTTCTACCGCAGTCGCCGACAGCTTCAGCAACGACTGCGCGAGATGCAGGACGCCTGGACTGCTCGCAAAGCTGAGGAGATCCAAGGCTACGCGGACCGCAACGAATGGAAGAACTTCTTCTCTGCGATCAAAGCTGTCTACGGTCCGCCGACGAAGGGCACTGCTCCTCTCCTCAGCGCCGACGGCAGTACTCTCCTGACTGAGAAGACGCAAATCCTGCAGCGATAGGCCGAGCACTTCCGAGGCGTCCTCAACCGCCCTTCCGTCATCTCCGACGCCGCCATCGCCCGCTTGCCGCAAGTGGCGACCAACGTGGACCTCGACCTCCCGCCATCTCTCCAGGAAACCATCAGGGCCGTGCAGCAGCTCTCTAGCGGGAAAGCACCCGGATCGGACGCGATCCCTGCTGAGGTCTACAAGCACGGAGGTCCCCTACTGATGGATCACCTGACTGCGCTCGTCCAGGAGATGTGGCGTCAAGGTGAAGTCCCGCAAGATTTCAAGGACGCAACTATCGTGCACCTATACAAGCGAAAAGGGAATCGCCAAGTCTGCGACAACCACCGCGGCATCTCCCTACTGAACATCGCCGGGAAGATCTTCGCTCGCATCCTGCTCAACCGCCTCAACAACCATCTGGAACAGGGCCTTCTGCCGGAAAGCCAATGCGGCTTCCGGCGTCATCGTGGGACCACGGATATGATCTTCGCCGCCCGCCAACTTCAGGAGAAGTGTCAGGAGATGCGGACCCACCCATACTCTACCTTCGTGGACCTGACGAAAGCCTTCGACACGGTGAATCGTGAAGGACTGTGGAAGATCATGCAGAAATTCGGCTGTCCGGAGCGATTCACTCAGATGGTGCGTCAGCTGCACGACGGTATGATGGCGCGAGTCACGGACAACGGAGCTGTCTCAGAGGCATTCGCAGTGACCAATGGAGTGAAGCAGGGCTGTGTGCTGGCGCCTACCCTCTTCAGTCTCATGTTCTCTGCCATGCTGATGGACGCCTACCGCGACGAACGCCCTGGAATCCGCATCGCCTATAGAACGGACGGTCATCTTCTGAATCACCGGCGCATGAACTTCCAATCGCGTGTATCCACAGCCACCGTGCACGAACTCCTCTTCGCCGACGACTGCGACCTGAACACCACCTCGGAAGAGGAGATGCAACGGAGCCTGGACCTATTCTTCACCGCCTGCGAGAACTTTGGGCTGGTTATCAACACGCAGAAGACGGTGGTGATGCATCAGCCGCCTCCCAACTCAGCCACAGCCCCCAACACGCCGCCGCAAATCAACGTGAATGGGACTCAACTGCAAGTGGTAGAGAACTTCCCGTACCTGGGCAGCACGCTCTCCCGCAACACCAAGATCGACGACGAAGTCGCCAACAGGATCTCGAAAGCCAGTCAAGCCTTCGGACGCCTCCAAAGCATAGTTTGGAATCGTCATGGTCTCCAAATGAGCACAAAGCTGAAGATGTACAAGACCGTCATCCTGCCGACGCTACTGTACGAAGAGGAGACCTGGACGGTGTACACGAGACAGGCACGTCGACTAAACCACTTCCACCTCAGCTGTCTCCGCCGCATCCTGAGGCTGAACTGGCAGGACCGCATCCCCGACACCGAAGTGCTGGAACGGACGGGAACTCTGAGCATCTACTCCATGTTGAGTCAAATGCCGCTGCAGCTGGAGCGGCCATCTGGTGCGCATGGACGACGAGCGACTACCCAAACGACTCTTCTACGGAGACGTCGCGACGGGTTCTCGTCGTCAAGGAGGCCAAATTCGCCGTTACAAGGATACTCTGAAGTCCTTCCTGAAGCGTCAGCAAATAAACCCGACCAACTGGGAAGAGCTCGCCCGCGATAGTCCGACATGGAGGAGAACAGTGAAGACGGGCGCTGCTATCTACGAAGCCAACCGCATCGCCGCCGCCAAAGTGAAACGCGATGTCCGCAAATCACAACTTCGCCCAATACGCAACGCCGCCGCACAACGTCTCCCTACGTGTCCTCGATGTCAACGGACATTCCGGGCACGAATCGGACTTGTTGGACATCTTCGAACCAACTGCAACTCTTGAACTGCTCCAGCCACCGTCTCCCCGCCCGCCTCTTCCTCGTCCTCTCTTCCGCCAACTAACTCTGACACTCCTTCTGCACCACCACTTCCATCCTCCTTCTCCTCGCACTCGCCTCCACTGCCCACACTGCCCTCGCACCTTCCGGCATCGCATGGGTCTATTCGGCCACATGCGCATCCACGAAAGCGGAATTGACCGCAGCCTTGACACACCCACCCCGCCGAGCCCCTCTCCCAATCCATCACCTTGTGCACACACTAACCACCCCACAGCCGACATCGACGCCACCGACCTTACCACCCCTCACTCCTCCCCTTCCTCCTCCTCTTCCTCCTTCACTGCCACAACGACGGCCGCTTCGGCGTCTGTCGCCCACGCCCGTACCACAGCCACACCTGACACAACAACAGGCACAACCCTTGCAACCTCCATCATCAGACGTGAGGGACAGGACTACATCTGCCCTCACTGCGATCGCACCTTCACTTCACGCATCGGCCTGGTCGGTCACTTGCGAATCCATCGCACAGATACTGGCGAACCAGTGCCTGGAGCACCAACCTACACTCACCGCACTCGCCTCCACTGCCCACACTGCCCTCGCACCTTCACGCATCGCATGGGTCTATTCGGCCATATGCGCATCCACGAGAGCGGCATTGACCACAATTCCGATACAGCCACGACATCCAACACATCCACCACGTCCAGACCCATCCTCGCTCCACCGTCAAACGCGCCGAACACCACCACCAACACCACTGCCTCCTCTACAGCTGACACCGACACCGCCGACCTCTCATGCCCACATTGTCCACGCACCTTCACGTCACGCATCGGCCTGGTCGGTCACTTGCGAATCCATCGCACAGAGACTGGCAAACCAGTGCCTGGAGCACCAACCTACACCCACCGCACTCGCCTCCACTGCCCACACTGCCCTCGCACCTTCACGCATCGCATGGGTCTATTCGGCCACATGCGCATCCACGACGACCTGCGGTAGACAACCGCCGGTCACACCACACATTCCCTCACTCCCTACCTCCTAACACCATCACCCCACCAGACATCAACCCTCACACACCTTATACACTCAACTGCCGCCTCCCACGCAAGTGGGAAGTGTGCATCTCGACTCGGTCCCCATGCGACTTCGGCTGCACGAGTGAATTGCGTCCGAGACTATTCCGACACGTCAGGTGTCGTGGATAGGAAGGTTGCTGTTCGACGCCCGTTCTCGGTTCACGCAGTTCGTCACGTTGTGTGTGTGTATGTTGTGTGTGTTGTGTAGTGGCGAACTGGTGGGCTGGGGATGGGCTGAAGCTGCACCTTCCACGGCACTCTCACGCAAGTGAGAGACACGCCGTTCAACCCCCGTCGTGTGAAATCCTGGTGTTTGTGTGTATGGGGGGCCAGGTCGTGCTGTGGCGCGCGCAGTCATGGTCTATCGACCATGGCAGCCACCGCGCCCATTCCCCACTCCAGTCTGCTGACCGGCTCGGACAGCGGCTGGGGTGTGGGAGTGGAAAGGGAGAGTGAGGTCGACGACTCAGCGCACTTTCTCCTCACTATAATCAATTTGACGCGCTTGAAGCTATCACGGTGCGCTAAAAGCCGTGGCTTGGAAGGCTGCCAACTGACGGGGTACCTTGGACATCCTCCTTAACGGGAGGCGGTCTGAGAGTCAGGCTGCAATGGCTCCTTTTTAATGTGGCCTTTATGGCATTCCCACCACAGTGTGGGATCCGAGCCAGGCGTTGGCGGCACGCCCAGGTGCGGCTTC